CCCCCCCCTCCCCCAGGCAGTGGAGGGTGTGTTTCTAGGAGGCTGGACATGGTAGCTCCCAGGCGGAGGAAAAGAAAGTAAAATCATAAATGCCATCCGTCAATTAGCTAAGGCCACGGCGTCTGGAGAGCAGCCTTTGTTGTATTTTGTTTTTCTTAAAAAACAAAACAAAACACATATTTTTATTGATTTCAGACAGGAAGGAAGAGGGAGAGAGAGAGAGAAACATCCATGATGAGAGAGAATCATGGACCGGCTGCCTCCCCACACGCCCCCTAGTGGGGATCGAGTGCACAACAGGGCATGCGCCCTGTTGGTGAATGGCACAGTGACCTCCTGGTTCGTGGGTCGATGCTCAACCACTGAGCCAGCGGGCTGGGCGCCGCGCTGTTTTTCTAGGCCTGTATTTTAGTTGTGAGTCGGGGACGGGTAGAAAAGGCGCCAACCCAAGAAAACCAAGAGATCCTGCAAAACGGGGGGGGGGGGGTTTAGAAAAGGGGGGAAGGGGGGAGGGATACTTACTGCCCCTGCGGATGTTAATGAGCAGGTTGCCCTTGAAGATGGTGCAGCCTTGGAGCATCTGAGCCGAGGTCACCGAGTCGATGGTCTTCGTCCCCTTGTCTTCCTCACAGATTTTGGGGCACGGCCCTTCGCAGGGGATGCAGTACATGCTGCGGGAGAGAAAGGAGCCCCCCCAAATGCGGAGGTCAGAGTGTCTCCTCGCCCCGAAGAGAGCCCACACGGATCCGTGTTCATTCTAGCCGGCCACGCGATCAACACCGCTGTGTGGTGGTTGTTGTTTGAAATATTGGGTGTCCCAAAATTCACGCAAGAAGTAATTTTGATAGAAAACACAGGTTTATAATTAAAAATTGTACATTTTTTATTGATTCATAAAGTATACAGTATAGGGTTATGTATGGAATAGCACATCGGGTAAATGAACTGGATTATCATGTCGTGATAGCGAGCACCATTAACTGTTATTGCCTGAGCAGCCGTGTTTTCGATGAAGAATGGTCCAATGATGCCTCCAGCCCAACATCCGCACCAAACAGTGACACGTGGTGGATGCATTTGTTTCTCAACAATCACTCATGGATTTTCTGAACCCCAAATGCGACAATTTTGTCGACGAACCAAGCCTTCAAGATGAAAATGACCCTCATCGAAATTCAGCCGCATTTATGCAAAAACGGTCACGCAAAATTTCAACAAAAGACTGCGTAGGTGCCAGCAGAGCCGTGGAGGCCATTTACCCGATGTGCCATTCCACACATAACCCTAGACTGTATCCTTTACGAACCAATAAAAAATTTACAATTTTTCATTATAAACCTGTGTTTTCTATCAAAATTACTTCTGGCGTGAATTTTGGGACACCCTTTCTATTTTTAAAAATGTAACGTAGGCCCGCTCTCTCAGGTGGACCCACCCCCGTCACCTCCCCCAGGGTCGCCCCCCCAAAGACGGGACAAAGGCTGGGGGCCGGGGGACCCCCGGGCGGGGAGACGGACCTCAGGCTGTCGTTGCGGATGAAGCCGGAGGGGCACTCCTGCATGCACTCGCCGTCGTGGATCACGAAGCCCTCCAGCTCGAAGCTGTCGGCGTTGGGGATGGTGGCGCAGAAGTCGCGGTCCACGCAGCGCCAGCCCTCGAAGCGGTAGGTGTTGGGGGGGCAGTCGGTCACGCAGACGCCCTCGTGGTAGTAGTGCTTGCAGGCCACGCAGGCCGCCTCGTCGTCGGGGGCCGTGCAGCCGCCCAGGCACTCGGGGTGGCAGCATTCGTTGTTCTCCGTGCACGCCCGCTTCCCGCACGCGCTCGGGCAGGCTGTGGGGCAGAAGGGCACGGGGTGAGCATGTTGCTTTCCTCTTTTTTAAAATATATTATCGATTTCAGAGAGGAAGGGAGAGGGAGAGAGAGAGAGAAACGTCCATGATGAGAGAGAATCATGGATCGGCTGCCTCCTGCACGCCCCCTACTGGGGATCGAGCCCGCAACCCGGGCACGTGCCCTTGACCAGGAATCGAACCCGGGACCCTTCAGTCCACAGGCTGATGCTCTATCCACTGAGCCACACCAGCTAGGGTGGGGTTTCCGCTTTTAAATATTAAAAAAAGGGGGGCCCTATACGGTTTGCCTCACTGGATCACAGGTGCCCACCTACGCCCTCTTTATTCACTGAGCTACTGCACACACAGCCTCCCAGGACATTCTCCAGCGCCAATGACAAGGCCCCGTGTGTCAGTCAGGGTCCCCGCTAAGTTGCAACATTGTACAGCAGCTCGCTCCACAGATACATTCTCGGTGCAGATGCAACTATGTATAAGGAAATGGCTGCGCCACCAGGCGGCCGGAGCAACTACACCAGCGGTTCTCAACCTGTGGGCCGCCACCCCTTTGGCGGTCGAACGACCCTTTCACAGGGGTCGCCTGAGACCATCCTGCATATCAGGTATTGACATGACGATTCAACACAGTAGCAACATGACAGTTAGGAAGTAGCCAGGAAAATAATTTTACGGTTGGGTCACAGCATGAGGAACTGTATTGAAAGGGCCAGAAGGTTGAGAACCACTGAGTTACTAACTAGATGGAGCAACTAGACGCAGGGAGACTCCGAGGCCCCCGGAACCCGTCCCCCCAAACAAGTCTGATTCCCAAGACCAAGTCTGATTCACACTCGTCACCGATTCCTAGGCCCCCCCTTTCCTCCCTCCCACCCCCCGGCCCCAGGGACCTTGTTCCTGCCTGGCCGGTACAGAGGGGAGGCCGAGGGGTGCAGGGAAACGGGTCATGATGGCTCCTGAATGCCTCTGCGAACGTTTCATTAGCCAACAAAGGCAACAGTCACCTCCACACAATACCGGTCGCATGGCTTCCGTCTCTCCCAGACCCGACAGGCGGTGCTGGGCAGACTACTGAGAGGACGGGGAAGAAAGAAGGCCCCCCCCAGGAAAGCAGAGGGGGAGGGACAAGTTACAATGGCAACAGTATCAAGTAAAAATTTCAAGAGCTCATTAGTGAGAGGGGAGAAAAGGCTGCCACCGGCGCAAAGATACAAAGCAGGCTCGCCACCCGCGGGGAACGTAGGGCGGGTCGGAATCCTCCGGCGGGGCTGTGGGTTATGACTTTTTTTAATCCATTTTATTTTATTATAAAAATATTTTTATTATCAGAGAGGAAGGGAGAGGGTGAGAGAGAGAGAAACATCAATGAGGAGAAAGAATCATGGATCAGCCTCTTGCACGCACGCCCCACACTGGGGATCGAGCCCAAAACCCGGGCATGTGCCCCGAAGGGGAATGGAACCCGTGACCTCCTGGTTCTTAGGTCGATGCTCAACCACTGAGCCACGCGGGCCGGGCTAGACAAGATTTAATGGGAGAAAAAAATCAAGAAAAAGGAGGAGAGACAGTTCCCCCGACCAGGCAGGACCCGCCTGCTCTAGTGAAGTGTGATGAGGGCGGCCTGTGTCCAGTTCTTCACCAGGGACGCACAGGTGTCTCCCACACAACTCACACCCCCTCATCCTGCTTTTAAATTTTTATTATTATTATCTTGTAGTATTTCTCCAGAAGAAGAGGAGGAGGAGGGAGAGGGGGAGAGAGAGAGAGAAAGAAAGGAGAAAGATCCCCATAGATTCTGCTGCACCTTCCCCAGCGTTGTGACCGCCAGGCACGGCCACATAAAGACGCCCGTCGCCTGTCACAGATGCTTACATGGCCAGGGCGGAGGGGAAAAAAAAAAATATTCTTTTCACACACTTCAAAATTACTCCAAGTTATTTTAGATCGGGAACTGTTTGTATATTCCTTATAAGTTTATGAAACGCGCACTGTCCCTCCATGACTAACGGCAGAGGAATTGGGAGAGGAGTCTATATTTATCGCTTGTCTGAGGCTCCGAGCTCGCGGCCCTAGTTCCACTCTCCGTTACTGTACACGGAGCTATGCGAGGCCCCGCGGGCTCCGCGGCGTCGTCGCCGATTTCCTAACAAGGCAGGCACGGGCCCCGCAGGGACACACACACACCGGGGGCTCGCGTTCAAGTGCAAGCTCGGCTCAGAGGGCGAGAGAGGCCTCTGGCTTTGTGGTTGCGGCTGCATCTCAACACCGGTGCTGGGGCCCGTTTCTGGACAGTGACACGCCTTCCTGGTATCGACCCAGGTATCCACGCCGCTGATAGATGCCTACTGTATACATCCAGGCCGCAAAGAACACTCCTTCTTCTTACCTTTTTAAAATATATTTTTATTGATTTCAGAGAGAGGGAGGAAGAAGGGAGAGAGAGAGAGAAACATTCATGATGAGAGAGAAATCATGGACCGGCTGCCTCCTGCACGCCCCCTACTGGGGATCGAGCCTGCAACCCGGGCATGTGCCCGGACCGGGAATCGAACCCTGACCTCCTGGTTCATAGGTCAATGCTCAACCGCTGAGCCACACCGGCCGGGCCATGGTGCACTCTTTGCTACAGCTTTGAGCTTAGCTTTGAGAGTGGCACATCTTTGTGAAAAGAAGGAAAAAATGGCCAGTAGCCCATTTCTCTCTTCATGTTGTGCTCTTTGCTACAGCCTTGAGCTTAGCCTTGAGAGTGGCACATCTTTGTGAGAAGAAGGAAAAAATGGCCAGTAGCCCATTTCTCTCTTCTCTAACGTCAGAAGGGGAAATAGAGAGCTCGTCTCAATTCTGTGACTGCTAGTGAGGCTGGGGGTCCCCACCACCCACATTTTTTTTAAAAAAAATCACTTGTGGTCCCTTTACATGTCTCTTAGTGTCTTTGCTCCATGTTCTTCTTGGGAGCTGAAGTTTTTACTGCATGTTTAGATTTTTTTAAGCCCTTAAAGATGAACATGCTTTTTAAAAATAGCATCTAGTATGTGCCTTGAAAGTATTTGTCTTGTCCGGCTCAGTGGTGGAGCGTCAACCTATGAACCAGGAGGTCCCGAGTTCAGTTCCCGGTCAGGGCACATGCCAGGGTTGCAGGCTCCATCCCCAGCAGGGGGCGTGCAGGAGGCAGCCGGTCCATGCTTCTCTCTCATCATTGATGTTTCTCTCTCTCTCCCTCTCCCTTCCTCTCTGAAATCAATAAGGTAAATAAATAAAAGTGTCTGTCTTAGGTGGCCTGAGAGAAAGAATACACACCTCCTCCCCCCGTTCCTGTGACGAAGGAGAGGCGTGGACAGCAGTGCGCACACACCAGGAAACTCATTTACTGCCCTCCCGGCCTTCCTGGTCATCCCTGCTTTGATCGTGTTCCTTCCTGATGGCACGCGTCTGGGCGTGGAAACACGTGCTTCAGAGCACAAAGTCACCGTGCGCCTTTCCGTTACCTAATCTGATGGCGGGCCCTGCTTCCTGAGGTTGGCTGGGGGGAAACCGCAAAAGACCCGCCAGGCGTTTGTTTCCAGGGCGAGTCAGCTCTGTCCTCGGGGCACGGCGGGGAGCAGGGCGTCTTGGGCGGCCACAGAATGACGGCCACGCCAAACCCAGGAGAAGCAGGTTTGGGGGGGCTGGGCGGTGGCGCGCCTGCCCCCACAAAAATGCAACGGGGTTCATCTGTCTGATGAGTCACAAGGGCCCTGGGAAAACCATACACGTGCAGGAGGTGAACTAACTGTCCTTGCAAAGATGAGTGCGAGAACGAAAAACAAAAAACAGCCCTAACCGGTTTGGCTCAGTGGATAGAGCGTCGGCCTGCGGACTGAAGGGTCCCGGGTTCGATTCCAGTCAAGGGCATGTACCTGGGTTGCGGGCACATCCCCAGTAGGAGATGTGCGGGAGGCAGCTGATCGATGTTTCTCTCTCATTGATGTTTCCAACTCTCTATCTCTCTCCCTTCCTCTCTGTAAAAAATCAATAAAATATATTAAAAAATATATATTTAAAAAACAAACAAACAAAAAAAACCTGTCATTCCCATGGAAGCCTGTTGCTTCGTATGTCATTTTTGTGTGTGATGGAGGCATTGCATTGGATAAGCATGTTATTGATCCTTTTTAAAAAATATTTTTATTAATTTCAGAGAGGAAGGGAGAGGGAGAGAGACAGATAGAAACATCCATGATGAGAGAGAATCATGGATCGGCTGCCTCCTGCACGCCCCCTACTGGGGATTGAGCCCACAACCTGGGCATGTGCCCTGACCGGGAATGGAACCCTGACCTCCTGAGGATATTTTTTCCATTTTATTTTTTTAAGAGAGTGGAATGGAGGGGGTGAGACACACAGAGAGAAACATGGATGTGAAAGAGACACATCGATTGGTTGCCTCCCACACGTGCCCCTGAAACCGAGGTACATGCTCTTGACCGGACTCAAACCTGCAGGCCCTTCAGTCCAGTGGCTGACACTCTAACCATTGAGCAAAGCCGGCTGGGGCCTAGGCTAACTTCTTAGCCCTTTCCGTAAACACTGTCAAACCCCAAACTAGCCAAGTCACTTAAAAATAAAAATAAACATTTTAAAAGGGGGGGGGGGCTCTCCAGCATCAATCTCTTCTTCAAACATCTTATCCAAAATCCTGGACTTGCATACACTGAAAAGAAGAATCTGGAAATGTCTGAGGCAGCGGTTCTCAACCTGTGGGTCGCGACCCCTTTGGGGGCCAAACGACCCTTTCACAGGGGTCGCCTAAGACCATCGGAAAACACATAGATAATTACATACCGTTTTTGTGATTAATCACTATGCTTTAATGATGTTCAATTTGTAACAATGAAAATACATCCTGCATATCAGATATTTACATGACGATTCGTAACAGTAGCAACATGACAGTTATGAAGTAGCAACGAAAATAGTTTTATGGTTGGGGGTCACCACAAC